ACTATATCAGGTTTCTATACCGGTATGTCAAACATTTCTAGATTTCTTCTTCCAGCTAACATTGTTTGTTTTATTAAAATTATCGTCATACCAACACACAACCGTCACCTTAATTAACACAGAAACCAGTTGTGTTTTTTATATATATATATATATATATATATATATATATATACACACACTAATCTATCTGGCTATTCACCAGGTTCACTATCCAGTGAGGTTTAGAAAAACAATCTTCTGACATATTGTGTGTATCTGCAGCACTTACAAGATTGAAATTCAAAGGTGGACATTGAGCTAAAGAATGCATCTCTGCTACAAAGCTCTTGCTCCTTAGCGCAATTTCTTGATGTTGAATTTTATTACACATCTGCATACATGTGCCCATGTTGATCCTATTTGAGTGTAATGGTGAGCTATATGTGAAGACTTGTTCTTTGCTACAAGGCCTACTTTTTGGGTTATATGTGTGGATTTTCTTTTTCATAGATTACATTTTTTCAGAGAGATATCTTTAAAATTATTTGAATGGAAGCCTGTGGCCATTATGTGGTTAATGATTTATTGCATCTAAATGCTCCACTTGTTAATGTTTTACCCTGGCATGGATATTACTTAAATTCTTTCCGTAACAGTTGGGTGCTCTTTATGACTTGTGCACCCTGTACATAGAGTAAATTATCCAAGGTTTTGATAGCAGACAGAGGTTCTCCTCATTGTGGTATAATAGATGCTCTTTATAAAGCTAGCTTCTTAAGATTTCATTGTCTAAAAGGTATTGCAAGATAGGGAATACTGTTTTTAGAGATTATTTTGTATCCTATAATATTTGTTTGAGGAATTAATGCATAATTTAACAATTCAAATTGTGTAAACTTGCAGAATTAGCATTTTTAGGTAGCTGTGAGCAACTGTGTAGAAGTGGAACTCTGCACAAACACTATCCCATATTATTCCATATTAAGCAAATAAGCAGACAAAGATTTCCCAACTTTTTGCTTCAATTAAGCCTTTCATAAGAGACCATATCTTTTTAAAGAAAGAGCTAATCACGTGTTTACTTTTGTTAATAAATGACCTCCATCCATTGACGTTTTGACTGAAAATTATGTTGCGTATAGTTTGTTAGTGATCTAGGTAGCACACTGTGGGATGACAACTTACAGATAGTGTCTGTGTCATGGTTCTGATCAGGTCAGACAAGAGACTTATGCCGGGGTTGACTTCAGGTAGTTTATTTGAGTTATTAGACATGGTAAGACAAATGTAACAATAAGAGTAACATGAGAAAGGGGGAAAAGGTATAATAAAGGCAAAGGGGGAAAGCAGAACTACAGGTGAGTATGAAAATAGACAATAGTTTAGGCAATATACCCCAAAACAGGTTTACAGGAGACAGGGAAACAATTAGATAAAACTAAACAGGAATATAAAGGATAAAGTAAAACAGGTTAAAGCAGCAATTGAGGTGTTCAGCCTCTTTGGTTGGAAATCAGAACTGCAGTTTCAGGGTCTTTGAGGATACTTGCAAATAAAAGAATGTCTATAATATCCAGGCAGGTTGGGAGGAAATCAATATGAAAACAAAGTCCAGTATAGCAATAAAGCAAGATGTTTTAATGAATCAGGATGGTTGAAGGTAAGTAAGGGTGGAGCAGATTTTATTTAGAAAGAGCCAGGAGCAGAAGACCTGTCAGGTTCAGAACACAACTTCTTTCAATGTAAAGGCATTTGGTTTAGTCGTGTGTGGCCTTTTTTAGCAGACTTGGATTGTCATGCTATGCAGGTGAGAGCGACTGAGGTGACTAGTGGCTAGGGAGGCCAGAAACAGGTATTGCAGTAATAAAACTGAATCATATCTTGACAGTCAGTGCTATCTGTCTCCATCTATAGACATATCTATATCTCCATCTGGAGCAGGGGTTCTCAACCCAGTCCTCAAGGACCCCCCTACCAGTCCAGGATTTAGGGATTACCTGGGTATGTATAAGGTGTTTAGAAAAAGGAAAAGAAAAAACACCATAGACACACTCAGGTAATCCCTAAATCCTGGACTGGTAGGGGGTCCTTGAGGACTGGATTGAGTGGATTTTTTATTTTTTTTTCAGAATATAGACTTATTGCTGCATTTATTGACACCCCAATGATTTGGTTATCTTGGCCTACAATTTAAAATTCACTTTGAATGCACAACAATAACTCTGACCTTGAGGGTTGGATATATACTCTATGGACAAAAGTATTGGGACACATGACCATTACACCAACAGGTCTTTAATGACATCACATTTTAAATACAAATTGATATGTAGTTTGTCCTATGTTAAAATGTAACGTGACCTGTTAAAATGTTTAAAAAGTTTTGATTTCAGTAAATATGCTGCAAACACAACAAATACCCATTTTCAGTTCTTTACAACCTATAAAGTGTTTTGAAACTTACTGTGCGTAATAATTTGGAACAGTTCATTGTAAGGTTTTTTTTATGTTTAAAAAAATACTGTTATCATTAGGAGGTTTGTTCAATAAAATTTGAATTGTACTCTTAGTTGATAACATGAGAATTATGCTGACTGTTATTTACATCAATTATTTAGGTAAATGAGAAATATAATTTGCATAATAATTTGGAACAGGGTGTAGACATGCAATTTTTATTTTTAATCTCCTGAGGATGTGCCTTTTTTAATTTCTTGTTGCAGGAAGGTTAACTCGTCCTCTGATTTTAAACCCTTTTCCTGACAGGTGGTTGCTTTGCGATGCTCGTCGTGTTCAGCAATAAATTAATCTCTTACTTCTGTGAGTCCTTTTTTTTTTATATCCTATGTCCGCCCTTAGAAACCGGTTTCATGCCTGACTCACTGGATTTGATTGCTCCTCTCTAGGGTGGATATCGATATCTTTTTGGGCTCATTTGGTCAGCGGTACAGCTGTGTCCTCTGCCTGATCGACTGGTAGTTCTCTTGCGGTCGTTTTGTCTTTGACAGATTGGTATAGAGAATCCACTTTTCGTATGTTCTATTTCAGACAATCTACTCATTCATCTATGTCCATGGTCAGGGGTTAAAATGGCAAAAATGAAGTCTCCTACCTTGCCATAAAATTAGGGACTATTCTAGCTTCAGTGATCGAATCTAAATTTTAGATTAAAGGTGAATATTTTCTCACCTGATTTTTCTTTCCCAACCCTGCACTTATTATTTTTTCCACAAGTTTTCTTTGGGTCATTTGCTCCTCTGATGGATTTATGGTTTCCATTGTTTCTGTTAATTCATATGTTTTATACCAGTACCAGTTACATTATTTATATTTGTTCATGACTTTATTGTATAACTCTATGCATGGTATTTATGTCCTGGTCTAAAAAAGTACTTTCATGAGGCTTCTTTTCATTTCAAGTGTGAACATTCTTATCGACTCTTCAAGTGGTTACCTGTTCTTCCTGTTGCTTCTCGGTTTTTTTCTGGTTTACATTGTTGACTATCCGTTGGATCAGTTTTATCAAGAAAGAGGAGTTGGGAGGAGTCTCAGCGCTCTATAATACTCCTAATATGTAATCTAGTTGATTTTTGTTTACAGTGTTTAACAACTTCTTTGCTGCTCAGAGGTTCAGTAAAGAAGGTTAAAGCAAATATTTGCCTCTTGTCTTTAATAACATTTTGATTATTCAGTCACTGAAACTAGAATAATCCCTAATTTTACTGAAAATCTAACACAGTCAATCATACTGAGACAAAGTAGGGAGCTACTGCCATCAAGAAGTACCAATTCCCCAGCTGTCACCAGTGACTGCTGTAGGAAATTAGCTCTATCTGTGTATGGTCTTGCGGGATTCTCCATAGACCTTATGTGCCAGTGTACAGCCATGAGATCAGGTGAAGCGCCTGGAGCAGAAGAAAGCTGGTGCCTGTGAGGGACAGGTTCAGGTAAGTTAAACTCTCATGCCCTCCATCCCCCCACAGGCCACCGGACCCCCTGGGCAATGTCACCATCTGGGGTCTATGCAAATTCTGCATTTTTCCCAGACGGCAACAGATCCGTTTTAAGATGGTAACTTCAGTCACTTTTTATCTTTGACAATTCTGTTGATCCATATGTGTGTCACATGCTCCAGTTTGTGAGACTTTTGTCCCCCCTTTTCATTTATTTATTTATAATTGTAGGGTTTTTTCGGTTGTGTTTTTTTTTTATTTTTTTATTTTTTTATTTTTTTTTTATTTTTATTTTTTTTGTGACTGCGGTTTGATTTCTGAAAACAAATAGTTTTCAAAGCATTGTAAGTTTGTGCACAGAACTTTGTGTAAAAGTTCAAAAAATCAAATCTCTCAAACTTACCTTTGTAGCTGTATTTTACATTAGTAACCGCAAAGTCAAGACCTTTCATCTCATTGGGATAGTGAGCTATGTGACTGGGAATACAGTTACACATTTTAAAGTTGCCAAATCAAAGGAACTCCCTGGGCACCATAACCACTCACATAAATTAAATTTTTATGGTGCTCAGTCTCCTGGCCTTTTCGTTTTTTTTTTTTTTCTCCTGTTAAACTGTGTTTGAACGTTGAGAGCATCACTGGTCACCCATTGTGCATACATATTTAATCTTTACTCACAATGGGCAGCCAGTGATAGGCTGATCTTTTCTGCACCTCTGCTGCTTTAGCAAACACCTCTGCATTAACCAGTACAGAGGAGGAGAGGCAGCAGGTATCTGATTATTATTGACATTTTATATAGCGCCAGCTCATTCTGCAGTGCCTTACATTAATACAAAGGGGGGAATAGAACAGAGCTTTGTAGGTAATAATGAATCATTTTAATTGAATCCTGCAGGGCACGAGGAGCCAGTATAATGATTGACAGAGGGGTGACGAATGAGTGGAGAGACAGGGAAAAAAATAAGCCTTGCAGCAACTCTCATTATGGACTGTAAAAAGGCAGTATTGTTTCTGAAGAGACCATTTAGGAGCAAATTAAAATAATCAATGCAAGACATTTTAAGAGCATGAAGAATCAACCAAGTCGCATTTTGGGTAAGTAAGGGGCAGATCCGTTCAAATGTTTGTTTTGAGTTATAAAAGGCTAGTTTTGTTAACAGACTCTGCAGGGAGAGCAACCGTGTGGAGGATTAGTATTATGAGGTGGGAAGATAAGCTCTGTGAAATTGGGAATTCATCCAGTCGGAAGAGAGGCAACAGGTGGCCGTTCTAGGACAGCTGGGGAGAGATCAGTGAAGACAAGGTACAATTAGGTATCTTAAGCATAGACATGTTAGTAGAATCCAAGCCAACAGAGGCAATATAGATAGCTTGGAGGAAAGATAAGACGGGGGGATGATAGAAACATTTAAATACATAAAGGGAATAAACACAGTAAAAGAGGAGACTATATTTAAAAGAAGAAAAACTACCACAACAAGAGGACATAGTCTTATATTAGAGGGGCAAAGGTTTAAAAATAATTTCAGGAAGTATTACTTTACAGAGAGGGTAGTGGACGCATGGAATAGCCTTCCAGCTAAAGTGGTAAAGGTTAACACGGTGAAGGAGTTTAAGCATACGTGGGATAGGCATAAGGCAATCCTAGACTTAAAGGGAAACTCCAGTGCCAGGAAAACAATTGCGGGGGGGCAGTGGAATGAAGAAAACCATAAAAGGTCAGTAGTGCGAAGTCTGATGTGGTGAGATGAAGTGGTTTTGGTGCCTGGAGTGTTCCTTTAAACTACTATAGACTTATAGACCCACCTCCTTCTGCTTTATACATACAGATGACTACCTGCAAATGGTTAATTAAAACTGAATATGTGCATATGTTTACAACGAAACCACAAACAAGATAGAGATATATATCTTTTTTTTTTGTCTACAGTAAATTCCATAAAATCTATCTTGCATTATGATAAGTGTACTATGTAATCTTTTTTTTTTTTTTGGCTGGATTGTAAGGAATTTCAGGAATGTATAAACACTTGCTTGGCTTTGATAAAGTTTGCTTTGTTCCTCTTGTGACCTGACCTATTGAGACTGGTTTCCTAGGACATTTAGAACTTTTTTTGGTTACTATTTTCACCTATTTATAAATTTGTCTTGCATTATATTTTCCCTTTTCAGTGCTGAAATATGTTTGCATATTGTTTTAAAGTGTATTTAATATCTAACTGCATCCACAAGGTTATGAAACATATTTTAGTTTATGTTAAATTCTTGCTCACACCAGTGAATCTCAGGTATCAATTGATATATAGAGCTCCATTTTTAGTGGCTCCAGATTGACAGATGAGCTGTATGCTGTGCTCAAATTGAGCCCTGTATACAGCTTTTAAAATCGGTATTTAAATCTCTGCTGACTGTAATGCAGTATAAGCACGGTTACCTTTCTGCTCCCTGTAATATTGAAAATGGCCATTACATTGTGGTCACTTACTATTCTCTACTGTTTTAACTAGGAGACCAATCTGCTATCAGTACTGATATTAGCAGAGCTTTTCCTTAAGGAAGTTGAAGTAGGATTTCAGAGGTAATGCTATTTTTAGGGTCATGGTTTAGGGTAGGTATACAGTTGGTGTAAGCATAGTGTTAGGATTCGTATAGCAAAAAGTGGAAGGTTGGTAAATGGTTAGCATTAACTACCAAAACATGTTTTGGATCCTAGACATAGGAAGCATTTAACAATGAGGACTAATACTGGAATTTATTTTGAGGAAGTACAAATCACTTCCTTCCAGCTTACCAATGAGCCGCGCAGGAGAGGGGAGGGAGACTGAGAGATAGAGAGCCTAGACCAGACTCCCATAATACTCAGCCAGATGCCACTTGACCCCAAGGAAGCCACCCTCCTGCACCGAAGAGCAATGGAAGAAAGGTGGCGACTAAAAATATGTAATGTGATCTTTGTGTATGTGTATTATCTCTGTGTATTGTCTGTGTTATCTGTATGTGTGTCGGTGTTTAATGATCTGTATGATTATCATTATGTGTATTTTTGTGTCTGTGTATATTCATTTGTGGGATTGTGTATTTGTACGTGTTAGTGTGTGTTTCATTGTATCAGCATGTGTCATTGTATGTCTGTGTATCTGCCTATCTGTACCTATGTGTCTGTGTTTCCGGATGTGTCTGTGTGTGTGGCAGTACATATGTATATGTAAAAAGGAAGTAATAGGCTCTCACTATAGAATCCTGCAAAAGATAGTTATAGGCAGCAGTAACTAACTAGTTCAAGGATTCCCAAACCTTGTAAAGTGAAATGTAAGAAAGAAAAGGGGAAATGGCACCCAAAATGTGAGTACAAGGTAATATAAGTACACAAGTCTTTAGGGGTATGTACACAATTGACCTCAAAAAAGAATAAAGACAAGAAATAATAGTGTAGTACTGTATATACAATAGATATGTCGTGGATAAGCTTTTGTAATTTCCACTCACATTCTAATGAGCTAACTTGGATCTCTGTTGTATTGCGCATGGACAGAACAATTCTCATCTAAGGATATATGGTGATGTAGTCGTCACGAATGCCCCAATTAGAATGCGATGTGCAGGACATGTATAAAAGTAAATACAAAAGGCAACCTCCAATGGTGAAGTAAGTACTGGTGGAAAGTCAAGTGAATAAATAAAGTAATGTACTTACATTTACCAGAGCAGAAGTTGCTCTAGTTTTAACAGCATGGATGGTATAATCCCCACCTAGGAATATGATGGTACCAGGAAGCAGTAGATGGATAAATAAAACGTGTGTGTATCTTCCAAGTCGAATTAATAAAAGACCCAGGACATACTTGAAAACGAGAGAAATCTCAATGTATCTTTCCTGGTAAAATATTTTATAAATAAAATTAGCTCAAAATAAAAATCAGCGTTTCAGTCTGTATCACAGACTTTCATCAGGCCAGTGTTTGTGACTAAGTGGTTACTAAAAAAGACTGGACATACCCCATTTGCAATACCTTGGGTTGTCTTCTTTTGCAAATGGTATGCCATCATGGGGGTAATTCTCATTCCTGGGCTACCATACGCTCTCAAAGGCAACGTAACCAACCTGGCCATTTTCAATGTAAAAATATTTGACCCATATATTTGACCCTGTAACTTTCAAAAACGCTATAAAACCTGTACATGGGGGGTACTGTTTTACTCGGGAGACTTTGAACACAAATATTAGTGTTTAAAAACAGGAAAACGTATCACAACAATTATATCATCAGTAAAAGTGCTGTTTGTGTGTGAAAAATGCAAAAAAAGTCACTTTCACTGACAATATCATCGCTGTGATATGTTTTACTGTTTTGAATCACTAATATTTGTGTTCAGTGAAGTCTCCCGAGTAAAACAGTACCCCCATGTACAGGTTTTAGGGTGTCCTAGAACGTTACAAGGTAAAATACAGTGCTAGCAAATTTTAATTCTAGACTTTCGACCCTAGATTGGCAGGCAGGTCCCTCAAATTGCAATCAATAAAATTACTTAATTATGTAAAAATATTACATAAATACGCATGTAGAATTTAAATATATATGCATATTTATATATTTTAAGTATATTTATGTAATTTTGTATATGGACATATGTATATTTCGTATTATTTCTATTTATTTATATGTACATAGATATATACAATTTCATTCTAAGTGTATTTTGATATAAATATATATATATATATATATATATATATATATATATATTAATATCAAAATACAGTTAGAATAAAATTTCATATAGATATATAATTTTGTAAAAATTTTTATTAAAGTTTTTATTTAATTTAAATTATTTGTATTTTATAAAAAATATATATTTATACACAATATATAGTTATTCTATATATTATATATACGTGTGTAATTTAATTATAAGTATTTTTATATTAATATATGTATATATTAATATAAAAAAACACTTAGCATGACATATATATATATATATATATATATATATATATATATATAATATATATATTTTTTTTATGATTTTACACTTGCAGGCAGACACATGGACACCTATTCTAACCATGTGACCGCTCTGTTGAGCGATCACATGGCCACAAGGGTCCTAATCCGCCATGGGGAGACTGTCTGTCTGGGCTGCAGGCAGTCTCCCCACACCGGGAGCATCGCCGATCGCCGCCGTGGGAATGACGGCGATCGGGTAAGTACATTTCACTGTTAGGACGGTTCAGAATCGTCAGCGGTCGGCAATGCAAAAATGCCGATGATGGTCCTGAACCGTCCTCGGTCCTAAAGGGGTTAAAGGGTGTCTTCAGAGAAAAGGCAGTGTTTACACTCAGACAGCCAGTAGAGATGCTTCCTGTGTCACTTCAGTTCAGCTTCTACACGCTCTGCATGGAGGCACTGAACGCTCCCCATAGAGATACATTTACACTACAGTCTCTATTCCCCACTACAGCCTTTCTCCCACCACTAAAATCGCTACTGTAGGTCATATTCCCCCATAAGAGTCATTGCCTCTTCCTTACAGCTCCTATTTCCCCACTACAGCCCCTAACCACCCAACACCCACCCTACAGTCTCTATCTCCAATTACAACCCCTTTACCCCACTACAGCACCTATTCGCCCATTTGAGCCTCTGTCACCCATTTGAGCCCTTATCTCCCCACTACAGACCCAGTCCCACACACAGCTCCTGTCCCCCACTGAAACTCCTACCCCCCAATCCCCATTACACTCCATTTTTTTTAGTACAAGGATGTAGATGTGCGTGATGTATTTGTGAAGCTAGCAAGTTGGTGGTTACAAGGGGGCTCCATGATCTCCTATTGCCCTTGGGACACATGAGTTGTCAGACTGCTCCTGATTTTACCAATGTGGTATATTTTTATGTTTGTTAGCTTTCCACCAACTAATCAATAATGAGATTTATTGGAAACTATTCCACCAACAAATCAATGAGATTTATTGGAAACTATATTCATAATTAATTATAATCTATTTTTATCGATTTAATTGTCGTAGCTCTACTGTGATTTAGAAATTTAGTTTTATTTTTCACGCTTCTCGGATAAATGTTTGTTAAATATGGGCCGAAACGTAACTATCAGAAACATCAGTAGCAGTTGGGTGTGTTCTTGATCAGCAAGAGGACCTATTAAAAATAACCTATTAAAAAAACATTTTTAGTGGCTCAGAGCCACTAGAGGCATGGTTTCAGACAAATGTAAGCTTTGTTGTTTTGGCAATGTTTTACTTTTTGTCTGAAAAAATGCTGTATGCACAAAAATTTATCCATTAACCTTGAAAAAGACCTCAGTGGCGATCGAAACGTTGCTTGTTTATCATGTTTTTCGAATAAAACTGCTGCATAAGCTATTCTGAGTGCCTGGACTACATTTTGTGTTTACCCAATGGTGTGGGGTTATCCAGTCTCAGGTTTGACTGCACCAGGACCAGTATAGGAGTACGGTGTCCTTTTGTTATCTGCATAAAGGACAGGTGCAGGACAGAAAATGCATAAGAAAGATATCGGTGTAAGAAGTAATAAAGAACCTATAAAAGTAGAGAATTCAGAAGAATCCTAACTTCTAATTAAATAGATATGCACACTCCCTACTTATGGAGTATATAGACCTCTGTGTGTTACAAAGCTCTCTGTTCAGAAGGTTAAACTCGATGGATTTGAGTCTCCATATTCAACTTAGATTATTTTGTGCAGCAACCTTTTTTCATATTGTGTAGAAACCATATGTTATCTTTGAAGGAACCCAAAATTAGAGGGCGTCCTTTCCAAAATCTGGCTAATCTATGCATTATTGTGGTGCACAGTCAATGAGGTAATGTCAGGGAATTGAGTTGCGTTTCAAATGAATTGTCACTGGTGAATGAAGCTTTTTTAAAGAGAGCGGTATGTCCAGAACCTGGATAACCTTTTTAATTTATTTTATTTTTTTTAACTTATTATCTGTACCCTGCTCTGAAAATGCCCAAAACAAAATGTTGGTATTTAGAGGCAAAGATAGATTTATATATATATATATATATATATATATATATATATATATATTTTTTTTTTTTTTTTTTTTTTTTGTTTGTATTACCAAACTTTTGTTATGAATGTGTATAAATGAAGAATCATTACTTGGTGAATACAAAGACTGTGAGCTGTGCGCTTAAATAATTATAGAAAATAGTGTATAAGTGACAGCTGCTACACACTTTAGTGGGAATCTCCCTTACTCCCTAAATGATACAGATGAAAGAAAGGTCTATATCCGACTAGGTTTGAAATACATCAGACCAGGTCGTATTTATGAGTGGAGCGCTATAGATAGGTGGAGAAAGAGTAATTTACACTTACTCCAAACAGACTAATTGTTCAAATATTGGTAGAACATAAATGGGGGAGAGAGGAGAAAATAATCACATAGTATAAATCTGTGCTGGATACGTGGCAAAAAAGACTATGAGATGTACACTCACATGGATAAGAGCCTCTAGATGGACAGGCTCAAAAATCACATCTGCATCTGGTGGCACTTGACCCTTGTTGGTCCCAGTAAATATCCTCAGAAGATAGAAATAAAACAGACCGGTTATGGTGTTAGTATTTTGTGCTATATGAACAATGACTTAATTAAAAATGCAAATAAATATTCACCTTTTTCAAAAGCCAATGGAACCTGGCTCTGGGTGATAGCGCTTGGGTGCCTATAAAGAAGACACCAACCCTTCTTTGGAAGCCGAAGTGGAGGAAGCCAGAGTAGGACTAAATTAATTTATTATGCAATAAAATACAAAGAAACAAGTAAAATAAAAAATATGTAATAAAATCTATGCAATAAAGTCTAAAGGAATGTCCCATAAAGGTTCCTTTTGCAGAAACCCATTTGTCCCAGATCACTGGGCTCTCTCAATCGGTGTGCAAATCATAGCTGCTTCCTCTTGCTTGTAAATATCCCCAAAAAAGTGTTTAGTTGGTCCATTCAAAACGTTTTCATCCAATCAAAACCCAGTTCCTTATGGAGGGTTACGTGTGTCTGCCTTTATGCAATTATCCTTAATTCATATTGCAGAAGCGGTGGGCACCTTCCACTACGTCACTTCCAGCCGCAGAAAGGCCATCTTCGTTTAGGGTACTTGCCAGCCGCCATATGAACCGGATGTGACGCGTCGGAACCGGCCATCACGTCACCTCCCCGATCGTGCATATAGATCATTTTGGATACTGGCAACATTGATCCTTTTTCTGTTTAAATAAACCATAGTGTGTTGAGGTAGGCAGGCATCAGCACCAAAGCTCCCTCAGGCAGAAGAAGTGTACATAAAACATACACAGTAAAAGCATTTGTACATGTTGATTAAAAAAAAAAAATCATAAATCATATTAAACCAGTTTTACCAATATTTGAACATTTTGTCTGTTTGGAGTACCGTATATACTTGTGTATAAGTCGATTTCGTGTATAAGTCAAGTGCAGTTTTGTGACCAACAATTGTGAAATATGCTAGGCCTCATGGATAAGTCGAGGGTAAAACTTGGAGCTATGAAATTCTGTGATTTTTATAATTATATATACACACACACTCATACAAATACACACACACACTCATACAGTCACACATACTCATACAGTCACACATACTCTGCATTATATGTACACACACTCATACAAACACTGTGAATGCAGAGTGTGTGTGTGGTGTATTTTATTTTAATATTATAATTTTATTTATTTTTGTCCCCCTTCCCTGCTTGTTAACTGGTCAGAGGGGGGCTACGTGAATCTCTGGTGGTCCAGTGGTATGGGCTGTGCAGGGGGGGAGCCGGCATGAAGCGTTTACTTACCTATCCTGCAGCTCCCCTGTCAGCTCCCAGTGTAAATCTCGCGGTCTGCGTAGTGCGCGGAGCAACGCTCTGATTGCCGTGGGTCTCTAGAGACTTGTAGAGCTGACAGGAGCTGCAGGAAAGGTAAGTAAACACTTCCTGCTGGCCCCCAACAGGACCGCCGGGCTCATAATACAAACAGTGACTCGAGTATAAGTCGAGTGAGGCTTTTTCAGCACAAAAAATGTGCTGAAAAACTCAACTTATACTCGAGTATATACGGTAAGTGTAATTAATCTTTCTCTATCTACCTATAGCGCTCCACTCATATATATATGACCTGGTCTGATGTATTTCAAACCTAGTCGGATATACACCCTGTTCCAAATTATTATGCAAATTATATTTTTCTCATTTAGCTAAATAATTGATGCAAATAACAGTCAGCATAATTCTCATGTTATCAACTATTAAGAGTTATTTAACAAACTTCCTAATGATAACAGTATTTTTGGAAACATAAAAAACTTGCAATGCACTGTTCCAAATTATTACGCACAGTAAGTTTCAAAACACTTTATAGGTTGTAAAGAACTGAAAATTGTAATTTGTTGTGTTTGCAGCATATTTACTGAAATCAAAAACTATTTCAATCAAACTTATAACAACATTTTAACTTTTTAAACATTTTAACAGGTCGCGTTACATTTTAACATAGGACCCCTTATTTGATAGCAGTTTCACAAAACTTGTGAGTTTTTGGACAGTTTTTGCAAGATGTCAGAATAGCCTCCCAGAGCTGCTGTTTGGATGTAAACTGCCTCCCACCCTCATAGATCTTTTGCTTGAGGATGCTCCAAAGGTTCTCAAAAGGATTGAGGTCATGGGAGGTGGAGGCCACACCATGACTTTCTCTCCTTTTATCCCCATAGCAGCCATTGATGCAGAGGTATTCTTTGCAGCATGAGATGGTGCATTGTCATGCATGAAGATGATTTTATTACAGAAAGCATAGTTCTTCCTTCTGTACCAGGGAAGAAAATGGTTAGTCAGAAACTCATCTTTACACCTTCGGGGATCCTAAAGGGGCCGACCAGCTCTCTTCCCATGATTCCGGCCCAAAACATGACTCCACCACCTCTTGCTGACATCGCAGCCTTGTTGGAACAAGGTGTCCATCCACCAACCATCCACTACTCCATCCATCTGGACCATCCAGGGTTGCACGGCACTCATGAGTGAACAGGACTGTTTGAAAATTAGTCTTCATGTATTTTTCTGCCCAATGCAGCCGTTTCTGCTTGAGCATTGGTTAGTGGTGGCCGAAGAGTAGGTTTATGCAGAGTTGCAAGACTCTGGAGGACTCTACACCTTGATGTCCGTGGGACTCCAGAGGCACCAGCAGCTTCAAATATCTGTTTGCTGCTATGTAATGGTATTGCAGCTGCTCTCTTGATCCGATGCATGGATCTGGCAGAAATCTTCTTCAATGTGCCTTCATCTGCACAAACCCGTCTGTGCTCTGAATCAGCCACAAATCTCTTAATAGTGCGATGAGTACGCTTAAGTTTTCGTGAAATATCTAATGTTTTCATACCTCGTCCAAGGCATTGAACTATTTCACTCTTTTAGGCAGCAGAGTGATCCCTTTTCTTCCCCATATTGCATGACAATGGTGCTCTGCTTAATAATGTGGAACACCCTCCTCTAGTAGTTTTTCCTTAAATTGGGCTCACCTGGCAATCTAATTATCACAGGTGTCCGAGATTGTTTTCAGTGATTAAAAGAGCCCTGAGACACAATGCCATCCATGAGTTAAACTGAAAAACAAAATATTTAATCTTTGTGACACTTAAATAGAATTTGCATAATTTTGGAACATGGTGTAGAAAAATCATTACTTGAGTAATGCAGTGTAATGTTGGCAGCCAGTAGGGGAGGGAGGGTGAGAGGACCCGGGGGAGTTATAATCTGCAGCACCGCCGGGTTCTCCTCTCGTGAGCTTGAAACGTTGCCGCGGTTACCACGGCAAGGCTCCGAATCTCGCGAGAGTGAGCAGCCCACTGTTCCCCCTCCATTCACACAATTGCCTTTCCCATACAGGAACACTTTAGTATTAGGACTACAAAGCTCAATTGCCCCACTATTCACACAAACTTTACCCATCACACACACTGTGCCCCTCACACACTGTACCCCTCATACAACCTGCCCACACACACTGCACTCCCCCATAAGCACACTGCACCCTCACACACAAACACTCTACTCCCCATACACAAACACACTGCCCCACCATACACACAATTGCCCCACACACACACACACTGCCCCTCCATACACAGAAACTGTACCCCTCACACACACTGTACTCCTCATACAATCTGCACACACACACACTCTGTATCCCTCACGCACAAGCTGCCACACGCACATTGCACCCCACACACACACGCACACTGCACCCCCTCACACACACTACTGCCCCTATTCCCTTCTACAGCCCATATCCCGACAGATCCCAGGCAAGTTGTAAACAGTTTTACTACTTACTCTTGGAGGGCACTACTGGCACCATAACCACTACAAAGTGCTGAAGTGGTTATTGTGACTGGATTGTTTTAAATAATCTACCAGTGCCCCTCCCAAGATTAGGTTCTGGATCTGCGCTTGAACGGCAAGCATTTCTGCTGAATAGGGGCCCAGTATATGCCGCTGCACTGCACATATATACAACCTAGAAAATCTTTTGACTTGGGGCGCCTTAGAAAAATATTAAAATATTAAGGGCGCCTTGAATCTAAAAAGTTTGGGAACCACTGGGTCATAAGAAATTTGTGTAACAATAAACTGTATGTCCACTAGGAAAACATGAACTAACGTAATACATTTTCTAACCATGTAAACTTGTTACAACTCCACCTGCTGTTGGACAAAAAAAATCATAAATGTTGCGCTTCATGTTATATATAAATATGTCCAGGCACTGAGTAGTTTAAAGACATGGTAGTGTTAATTGGATCAAAGTGAACACACTTTGATCCAATCACTGCCATGCTTTAAACTTCTGAGCATCTATATATATTTGAATATATTATGTGAGGAGTCTGTGCCTGCTCCTGTTCGGCTAAGCACCAGTAGTTTTTCACAGGAGATTAGTGCAGTCCCCTTCGCGTTAGTATAAATGTTGCTGTTCAAACAGGTAAAAAATATTTCTCCATGCTCTGAATTATTTAACTTACAACCATTCTACTTTTTTTTTTTTTTTTTTTAAACTGGTGGGGGGAAAATGCAGTAACTCTCAGCCAACTTTTTTGTAGCTTACTATTCTACTAGAGAATCTGAGAGGATGTGAATTTTATTGTATTCCTTGTGAATTGTCAAAGTGAACTTTTAATTTGTAGACCAAAGTAGTTACATTGTCCAAATTCTAATTAGTTAGGTTTCGGATTTACTTTGGCCTACACTTTTTCACTTTCCACATTGCTGATTTTTAAAGGTTTTTGTTTTCTATGGTAAAATCCAATGCTACGTGATCATTCCATAATATTTCCCTTTGTACATGAATTCAAAATTCACTTCCACACACCATGTATAGATTTGTATCTACACTACTTGCTGGATAGGAAGTTGACCATGGAGGTTTATTGTTTCATGGCCTGGTGGAATGCCATATTTGTTTTAAGCTTCCTTCTCAACTTAGTGTAGTGGTTGAAAAGGTTTAAAATCAGTTCGAATCAAAGCCCTGAAATTGTCCCCAGTAATTGCTGTGATTGGCATATGCAGTTGAGGTTAGGTAATATTGACATAAGTATTTATTTCACATTATCAAAGCTCAATTTGACTTTAGATCTTTGGGCTTTCACAAAATATAGTACCAAATCTTATTCATATAGCAGGATCCAGTGCTTCTCAGTCCGGTGTCTAACCCACAATCATTAAGTATAAGAAAAATTACTGCTCACACAAATTGCATCAATACAGAAAATCTTTCTTAAAGGAACACTTTAGTATTAGAACTACAAAGTTTAATTCAATGCTTTATGGGAGATTTGAACGCGATGAACTTGAGGACATCAAGCATCGTTTTACGGAGTCAATCCGTGAACGAGCAGGAAGCACCTCTAGTCACTGTCTGGTAGACAGCCTCTAGAGGCAGTCTTAACCTTGCATTATAAACATTGCAGTTTCTCTAAAACTACAATGTTTTACATTACAGGGTTAAGGGACAGTGCACACAATGAGATGAAGTGGGTGCCTATAATGCCCCTATAAGCCTGAGAGACTTGCGTAAGAGCTGATGTGTTGGTGTTAACAGTTTCTGAATACACTTTCTGTGTGCTAGGTCATCTTTCTTACACTAGATAAAACTGGCGCATAGAGACTTCAAGAATCTTAGCCACTACACAATCCTGTCATATTTATTACTGTGCCTTTAACATAGATCCAAATGTAGGTTTTTTTTTATTTTTATTATATATATTTTATTTTAAATTTGATTAATCTGTATGTAAAAAAATGACTTTAATTATTGACTTGGGTGACTAGAGGAAACTTATAATGTATGCATAGTTTCTTTACAGTGACACCTGTATATATTTCGGTTTACCCCAGGGCTATGATTTGCTTTTCACAGTGAGCATCTGTAAACATCCTCGACTGGAAGCTGTGAAGCAACTGAGGGGCTTTCAGTCGGATGTTTGCAGCTGCCAACTGCTGCACACTTCAAGGATTTTAGCAAGCCGTTCAATGTACAAATTCCTTTATTTCAAAAGTATATTATATTAACTTGACCCAACAACATTTTTAAACTATTGATTTTTGGTTTCATCATGCTTGTAGATGACACTCATGGAAAAACTGGCTGAAACACTATTGGACCCATGGTGATTCTTCACTGAAGCACGGGCCACGGGGAATTCCACCATTCTTTAAATCAGACTGGTGTACAGTTTTGAAACTTGTTAATGGAGAGTGCTTTAACAGCTTGGATATTGAATGCTGCCAACTCCCACACTCCTTAATCCGATTTCCTGAACTTTGTTCTCTGTAACTCATACAAGGTTCATGACCAGAAGTCTATAATCCTGTCATGTTTTCCTGATGGCTTGTTGCAGGTTTGGTATATATTCAAGTTTTTTTGGTTTTGTTTAGTGTTTGTGTCAATTCCCATTCTATATATTTGTAGCTTTTACACGTAGTATAAAAATGGAGATTGCTTCTATATTTGAGAACTTTAGTGTCAGTCAGTTCTAAACTAAGATCTATTTTTATTCCCCATTACAATCCCACATTTTGTGCTAATTTGCTACCTCCGAGTAGTACAGAAGCCCCCACTGGGGTGAATCTGACTCACACTAACATGTATTTATGTACAGTACAATGCAAACCATTAATTTCAAGCATTGTACTATGTAACTTATTCATTGAATGCTATGAAATGAGATTAGCTCATTAATTTGGAATTTAAATACAAATGAAGACTATTTAAAATAAAAATAAAAAAGGGGTTAATATTACCATTGGTGGATGGTTTTTCAGCATGTCCTTGTCCTACATACAACTGTTAGAAAAGACACATGCCCTGACAGAAGAAATACCCTCCCGGGCATGGTTGAGTAGAAACTTTAATTCTGCTTGGAATATAGTGTTGTGCTTATTTTCTTATTACAATAAAAATGAACTATATTGAGCTATAAAATTGTAAAATAAAAGGCATAGTCCTGAAGATGGTGACCATCCAGTGACCCACTTCCTGAATTTTGGTACAGCAGCGCTCAAAGAAGCACATTGCTGACATCTCTTAATGTGGTCTATTGTGGCTGATCTCATATTATAAACCTCATCTGGATAGAGATTATGAAATAAGTGGTTTATAGACTATAGACCACTCTAATCATCGCAAAGGATGACTGGAATTGCACTGTAAACTGATGGCTACAATACTGTGTCTGCATCTGTTTACACACAGCCCGAGAGCTTAGTGAACTGGCTGTATTTTTACTATTGACAGAACCACGGACAGCGCCTGCAGACCCCAAATCCTGGCTATCTCTAGGAGGAAAAAGAGAGCTTTCCCCTAATGTGTATGCTTATAGTGCGCACATGCATTATGTACAAAATTGATATAATGCAGCCTGGCTTTAAGTGTTCAGGCTGCTTAATTGACAGCAGTAATGGGCTGTCTTAAATCAACAGCAATTTCCACAAATACACCAAATGATTGTATATGGGGATAGCTACTTAAAGTAGATGTGAATTGCCTAGGAAGATGGCTTTTACTGTAAACAATTGCTTGTGAATATTCTGAACATATTTTGCTCCTATAGTTTCATTTTTAAGAAACCTGTACCTCAAAGATCTTAAAGTGACCCTATCATCAAAAATAAAATAAACTATATTTACACTAATCAGCCACAACATTGGATGGCTCCGTGTCATTTACCTGGGGAAGAGATGGCAGCAGGATGCACTATGGGAACAGCAGGCCGGTGGAGGCAGTGTTATGCTCTGGGAAACTTTTGGTCTTTCATGTGGATGTTACTTTGAGGTTTACCACCTACCTAGAGATTGTTGCAGGCCACATACACCCCTTCATAGTTATGGTGTTCCCTGATGGCAATTGGCCTCTCTCAGCCGGATAATGCACCTAGCCGCAATGCAAAAATTGTTCAGGAATGGTTTGAGGAACATGAACAATAGTTCAAGGTGTTACCTTGGCCTCTAAATTCCCCAGATTACAATCTGAGCATCTATGGGATGTGCTGGAACAACACATTCAATATCACCTTGCAAGACTTAAAGGATCTGCTGCTAATATCTTGGTGCCAGACACCACAGGGCACATTCGGAGGTCTTGTGGAGTCCATAACGCAATGCATTAGAGTTGTTTTGGCAGCACGAAGGTCACCTACACTATATTAGGCAGGTGGTATTAATGCTGTAGCCAATCAGTGTAATCTGCTTCCATGTAGCTCCCTGTGTCTGAATGAAAAACATAGCGGGGCTACTTTAAGAGTGGGTTCTCGCCCTGAGATGAGGAAAGCAAACACTGGTGGTCTCATTTAAATGTTGGCACTTTGTAAAGCAGGTTTGTCTTCACAAATGCATTAAATTGTGCAGTTTCTATCTGCCAAGAAAGGAAACCCTGGTTCCTGCTTACTGGACAGTTCGCTACTAATTTAAAATTTTCAGACTATTCAAAGGAAAATGAATATGGTCTATTTCTGCAAAAGATAATATTCTCAAATAACTGGATTTTTTTTGTAGGTATTGCATAACTAGATGTTGTTGTATTTCCTTGCATGGTATATATTACATTACATGACTGAAAAAGCATCAAGCTACCTTTCTATTAATGGACTACTAAAGTCACCCACACCACTTAATCTCAATGAAGTGGTGTGGGTTCAGTGGTCCTGTCATTTTAACATTTGGATACATTGCGATATTTACATTGCAGGGTTAAACATACATGTGTTCCAGACAGTCACTAGAGGTTCATTTGCTGAACAGACCAAAACTCGTAGTTCATAGGAAAACATTGAATTCAGTGCTGCTGCATTTGGCACGGCTCTCACTAGGTCACTAGGTGTACTGGGTCCCTGTTGGATTGAATCATCAATCCATTTCTCCTTGAAATCGTCACAGGAGGTGGAGAAGTAAGATGGAGTCTAGGTGTCAGAAAAAGGCGAGTAACATTTTTTTAACACAAATAAGTGTGTGTGTGTGTGTGTGTGTGTGTGTATATATAAAAATATATGTTTTGTAACTATATAATATTTATTTGTTTTATGGCAGATGGGTGGGCAGGGGCACTATAGCATTAAAACAGGTTTATTTTCTTAATGCTATTGTGTTCCTTTTAAAGGGATACTATAGGCACCCAGAACACTTAATCTCATTCAATTGGTCTGGGTTCAGTGTCCTTGTCCCCCTAAGTCCTGCAAAGTAAAACATTGCAGTTTTTAGAGAAACAGGAATGATTACTTTGCAGGACTAAGACTGCGTCACAAGAGGCGCTTCTGAGATGGTAAGGGACTGATTCCGTTAAATGAAAATGAATGTCCTCATGTTCTGAATGAGGACTTATAGTATCAGTAAAATACCCATAGGAAAGCATTGAGACAAAGAGTATGAGCTGCATGCACGTTCGGTCCCCCCTAATGACATCAGATTAGGTGGAGCGCTGAGGAACAACGGCTTTGGAATCCGGTAAGTGACTTAAGGAATTTTAAGGCCTTTATGAACTGGGGGGGGGGCCACGATAGAGGGGGGTGGGACCAGAAGCACTACAGTGTTAGGAATATAGATTGTATTCCTAAGACTATAAAATATCTTTAAACTGCTTTATTAAGTACACTTGACTGTACATTTCTTGAAGTAAAGTTCCTGTAGGCTTCCTTTTTTTATTGTATTCAGTCTTTTTTATGTCTCTTGCAGCATTTTTGGTATTTTTCACATTCCTGTATCAACAGAGTAACTAGGCCAACATTTACCAATTCAAAAAGTATGCATACATTGCTTTTTATCAAAACAATTTTTAAAGATAACATTTGGATTAATTCCAGCTCATGGTCTGTTAACATATAATAGATTATCCTGCTTAACAGGCATGTGTGGAATGTTTTTAGTATTTAAAGTGAAACTGTAGCTAAAGTAAGGTTCTCCAGTGCACATAATTATTTGCCTGAATCAGTCTAGCCAAATCTGTCAACATTCCTATTTGTTTGAATACAGGAATTATATCTTTGCTTATTTAAACGTATGTGTGCACTTGATCCAGAAAACAAACATTAGCCAATGATCTGCATGTAACATTTAAAGGGAACTGTTCCATCTGTGGAAGTGACAATTCCATGTTCTTTCATCCCAGGGATAAAAAGCATTACAGTGTCATTTAATCTATTCATATCTCGATAGTTTTAAATGACCTATTTAGGTCCCGCCCTTTGCCTGTGAAGATTTGAAAGGGGAATTTTTACTTGTTTTTCAGCCATTGCCGCAATGTTCTTTGTCCTGGGCCTCTTTGGCTGAGATCATCAGTGTAGATCAGTGGTTGTCAACCTGATCTCTACCGCCCACTAGTGGGCGTTTCAGGATTCCAGGTGGGCGGTTGTCGGTTCTACGGCACAAGCAGAATCTTCCCTCCATCCAGAATGATGAATGCTCTCTTCATCTCCAGCGCCCTCAATGGTTAGCAGGAAGTGCTTTAAAAAAAAAAAAAAAGGAAGATAAAAAAGGGGGGAGGGGGGATAATGAGGAGGTAGAGGAGGGTAGCTGGTGCACAGATGAGAAATCATATTATAAGCAAATTGAGAAACCAGTCTGAATATCACCGAAAGAGGAGAACATTGTTCCTTACGAAAATTGAACCAGATATCAAATATTTAGTCTCGCAGCATCAGCCTCAAGGATCTCATTAATCACTAGTTAAAGGTAATTTCAATTTACTTTACTATTTTTCCGTTAAACTTCATAAAGTTATAAACACGCATAAAATAGAAATAAAAAGATACATAATGAGATCCTTGAGGCTGATGCTGTGAGACTAAATATTCGAAAACTGGGGGGCGGTAAGGAATTTTTTCATCAAGAAAGATGCATTAGTGGGTGGTAGGTATGAAAAGGTTGACTACTCCTGGTGTAGATGATCTCAGCCAATCCAATGAACTGTGTTCTTAAAATGGCTATTTCAATCAGATGGTGTCATAGGAAAAGAGTTTATCACCTCTACTGTCTGTCAGGGAAACACACTAGAAACATATTACCCCAGCATTATAAACATTACAGTTTCTGCAGAATAGCAATTTTTCAGTGGCAAGATTAAAACTACAGGGACATGAAGTTGTCCGGGTGCCTATAGTGTCCCTTTTAAGGGATATAATTTGGGGTTAACTACCATTCAGTGAGCTGCCAGTTAAAGGACCACTATAGGCACCCAGACCACTTTAGCTCAATGATGTGGTCTGGGTGCCAGGTCACCCTAGTTTTAACCCTGCAGCTGAAAACATAGCAGTTTCAGAGAAACTGCTATGTTTACACTGCAGGGTTAATCCAGCCTCTAGTGGCTGTCTCCCTGACAGCCACAAGAGGCTGCTTCTGACTTACACAGCGTAAATCGCACCTATATGACGCTGGGTGTCCTCACGGAGTTTAGCATCAAAAAAGATCACCATAGGAAAGCATTGAGTAATGGGTGGGTTTACATGAGTGCACGCCTCTGGACGCGCATGCGCATTCGGCTCCACTCAGAAGCTGATGTAGCTGGAGGACGAGAGCCCGGCGCTGGATTTAGGTAAGCAAATAAATGGTTAATAAACAATTTATGGGCCACGGAACAGGGTCCTAGTGACCTAAACATTGACTAGGGCTCTTTAACATTAGGAAATATTCCTAATGCTATAGTGTCCCTTTAAGCTAATGGGTTATAGTTTGTTATTAACAAGTAAACCGATACATTTAGCCTGCTAATTTTTGTTATGTCTTTCTGGAATACATTTTGTATGTGGGGGTAGGGGTGTTGTAATCCATGCTAATGTCCCACAAAGTGCATGTTTTGCTGTGCTGTTCAGAGTAGACTGGATATCTTGATGAGGAAGCAGTATTTTTAATTCAATTTGTAGATTACATAGTGCCCTTTCTCCCACACTTGTCCTCCCTTGAGTTGACTCCACAAACAAACCTTGCAGGGAGAAAATATATAACTGATGTGTGTTCAGGATTCACTTGGGGAAACTCCCTTTTTAAGTCGGAAATGGGTTAACGGCTATAAAAGCTTCAGTTTAAGATTTGCATCTTCAAAACTTACATCCTCTTCACAAAGTGGATATTGGATGCAGTCCAGTATTTGGTTGTGACGTTTATCAGTAGGATAAGCTGCCTGTTTCTTTGTGAACTCTACAGTGGTCTGTAGGGAGGAGTCATCCTTTTGTATTCCATTAATCTCTTAAATTATTCCAAATGTTCAGGCATGTTATGCTTAAAGGGAAACCATTGAAAATAACTTTTGACTTGTGTTAACTTTTTTTTTTTTTATTCCTGAGATGACCTGTTTTTCTTAAGTTTTATATTTAAGATTTAGCAAATGACATTTAAAATCCATTGGAAATCATCCAAGGCTAGGGCAAACATTGTACATAAAGAGAAGAAATAATAACATTGTTTAACCACTTAAGGACCGACCTGTTTTTGCGATGTTGTACGTTAAGGACCAGGGCTCTTTTAACACTTTTGTTGTGTTTGTGTTTAGCTGTAATTTTCCTCTCTCTCATTTACTGTTCCCATACAAGATATATATTGTTTTTTTTTTTCAGGACAAAAGGGGCTTTCTTTACATACCATTATTTGTATCATGTCATATAATTAACTTAAAAAAAAAAAAATGGTACAAAATTGAAAAAAAAAGCATTTTTTTTACTTTTGCTTGAACAATCTTTTACTTTCCTATGAAAGCTAATGAAAAAATCTGCTAAATAAATTAAAAATGTTGTCCTGAGTTTAAAAACACCCAGTGTTTACATGCTTTTTTTTTTTGCAAGTTATAGGGCTATAAGTACAAATAGGAAATTGCTGTTTCAAAATATATATTTTTAAAATGTATCAGTAGAGACATTGTAACACTATTATCTGTCATAAATCTCTGAATCACACCCCACATGTACATTTTTTTTTTCTTTTAAAGTAGACAACCCAGGGTATTCAATATGGGTATGTCCAGTCTTTTTTAGTAGCCACTTAGTCACCAACACAGGCCAAAGTTAGCGTTCATATTTGTTTGTGTGTGAAAAAAGTAAAAAACTAAATTGAATGCTAATTTTGGCCAGTGTTTATGACTAGATGGCTACTAAAAAAGACTGGACATACCCCATTTGCAATACTTTGGGTTGTCTTCTTTTGCAAATGGTATGCCATCATGAGGGTAATTCTCATTCCTCAAAGGTAACCAACCTGCCAATTTTCAATGTAAAAATATTTGACTGTTATATTTGACCCTGTAACTTTCAAAAACTCTAAAACCTGTACATGGGGGTATTGTTATACTAGGGAGACTTTGCTGAACAGAAATATTAGTGTTTCAAACAGTAAAACGTATCACAACAATATCATCGGTAAAAGTGCTGTTTGTGTGTGACCAATGGAAAACAAATCACTTACACTGACAATATCATCGCTGTGATATGTTTTACTGTTTTAAATCACTGATATTTGTGTTCAGCGAAGTCTCCCGAGTAAAAAAGTACCCCCCATGTACAGGTTTTAGGGTGTCATAGAAAGTTACAGGGTAAAATACAGTGCTAGCAAATTACATTCTCTGGACTTTCGGCCTGGGTTGTCATGCAGGTCCCTCAAATTGCTATCAATAAAATTACTTAATTATGTAAAAATGTTACATAAATACGCACGTAGAATTTATATATATATGCATATTTCTATATTTGAAGTCTACGTGTATATTTATATAATTATTTATGTAATTTTGTATATGGACATATGTATATTTCGTATTATTTTTATTTATATATACATAGATATACAATTTCATTATAAGTGTATTTTAATATAAATATATATATATATACATATATTAATATCAAAATACAATTAGAATAAAATTTCATATAGATGTATACATTTTTTTAAAAATTTGTATTTTAAATTTTTTTATTTTACTTATTTGTATTTTATAATATATATACAATATATATAGTTATTATATATATGTGTAATTTAATTATAAGTGTATTTTATATTGCTTAGTATGACATTACATATATATATATATATATATATATATATATATATATATATATATATATATATATATATATATATATATATATATATATATATATTTCAATTTTATTAACTAACTTTTTTTTTTTTTTTTTTTTACAATTGCCCAGCCCAGACAGTCCCCCTGCAGGCAGACACTAGGACACCTATTGTGACCATGGGACCGCTCTGTTGGGTGATCACATGGCCCCAGGGGTCCTAATTCGCCATGGGGAGACTGCCTGGGCTGCAAGCAGTCTCCCCACACTGGGAGCGCCGCCGTGGGAACGACGGCGATTGGGTAAGTACATAATATCGTTGTGACGGTTCAGGACCGTCAGCGGTAAAATACCAATGACGCTCCTGAACCGTCCACGGTCGCAAAGGGGTTAATGTCTTCCCTTTTTGGTGTGCTTTCTCTATGTTGACTGCCAGGTGTAAGGGAAATATTGATAACTATGATTGACAGGAGGCACCCCATTAAAGTGAGATGTGGCTTTCTAGATTTAAAGGAACGCTTCAGTATTTGGAATACAAAGCTGTCCTCTGCCCTCCCCCAACACCAGCAAATAAAGGTATAATACCCTTTTTACACCACCCTAATTCCAGCTCTGAGGAACTTAATGAGCACCATGCACATTAGGCTTTCCCCATAGAAAAGCATTGATTCACTTCAATACCTTTTCCCATTGCTAGTCTTAGGGAATTGTCCTAGTCAAATTTCAGGAAAACCATGTTAATTCTGTTTAAAGTAACAACCTTTTTTTTTTTTTTTTTTTTAGGTTGCATTTTAAATGTTGCATTTTGTTACATACGGTCATAAAATGTCCCTCTTCAGCTTCTAGCACTGGTAAGTATGCTCATGTGAATTTGCATTCCATTCTTTTTTTTTTTTCCTCTCCCCCACCCTCCAAAAAAAAATTGTTTTTAATTTGTAAGTATTTTTTTCTTAAAAGACCACTATAGTGCCAGGTAAACATACTCGTTTTTCTGGCACTATAGTGCCCTGAGGGTGCCCCCACCCTCAGGGTCCCCCTCCCGCCCGGCTCTGGAAGGGGGAAAGGGGTTAAATCTTACCTTTTTCCAGCGCTGGGCGGAGAGCTCTCCTCCTCCGATCCTCCTCTTCTCCCCGTCGGCTGAATGCGCACGCGCGGCAAGAGCTGCGCGCGCATTCAGCCGGTCACATAGGAAAGCATTCAGAATGCTTTCCTATGAACGCTGGCGTGCTCTCACTCTGAAAATCACAGTGAGAAGCACGCAAGCGCCTCTAGCGGCTGTATCTGAAACTGCTATGTTTATGAAAAAAATGGGTTAACCCTAGCTGGACCTGGCACCCAGACCACTTCATTAAGCTGAAGTGGTCTGGGTGCCCAGAGTTGCCCTTTAAGTAATAATTGGTTTTCTAGGTATTGTGACCCTCTGAGGAAATGCTGAAGTTGTTCTCCCTAAGAGAATACGTTCATAACCTACACAATATAAATAAGATATGTGTGCAAAATTAAATGGGTAAATTGTGTATATTTGAGTTACAAATTGAACACTTTTTTAACCTAAAATAATTGGTATATAGTTTGGGAAGGGAGGTTCCAAATTTGCATAGATTTTTCTCCTGCTTGAAGACTATTCCTGACTGTTTTTTGAATCTGTGGCCTTTTTTGGTCAGTTTAGATTAACTATCTTTTGTATATTTAAATGTAGTGTAATCTGCTGTTTCTTCTCCGGTCCAGCCAGCTGATGCACTTTTTTTGAGTGACAGATATTGTAAACATCCTACACTCTCAGCTGTGGAAATAGAGAAAGCTGGGAGAAGGCTGTTTACGCTGTCTGCCTTGGATAGCAACAGAAAGGAAGTCGCTAGCTACATTGATTTCTCTGATGCTACTGTCATTGTATACCTGGTCTTCTAACTCTTTTGTTTCATTATATCTTCAGTAATTTTGTATCTGCATGTTTCTTAAACATGTCAATAAAACACAATAAATTCAAACTTTATTTAAAATGTTATGGTCTTATTTAAGTATCCATTTTTTTCAATGTGTGACTGAAATGTAGAATTTGAAATATAAGGACTTGGTATTTGCAAGCAGAGATACCGCCTCTCCAAGTAGGCTATAACTTATTTTGTACCCCTCAAAATACAAGTTTTGAGGTTTAAAATGAATCCCTGGAAGCCAAATGAACCTTTACATTACAAGCACAACTTTTTGTTATGTTATATCAATCATGTCAAACTCAAAGTCTGGCACGGGCCACATACACAAGGTTTAAGTTTATGTGGGCCAAAAAAAAATACTTTAAATTTTCATAGAAATTTAGGATTATTTAAAAAAAAGTACAGTATATACAAAAAACCCAGTATCCCCCTCTACTAAACCACAGCACACCCCTCTACTAAATCCCAGTCGTCCCCCCTACCACCCTGTGCCAAATCTGATCCTCCTGCTGACACACACACATACTCACTGACAGACACACACATACACACATACACACATACACACATACATACATACATACATACACACACACACACACACACACACACACTCACTGACACATATAGTCACTGACACATACACACACACACAGTCACTGACAGACACACACACACGCTTTTCTTTATTGCTCCCTACTTTTTGGAGCCGATGTGGGGCCTCTCCCTGGGGTTCTTCTATCTGCTCCCACGCACGCTTTAGTGATGCCGGGTGCCAGAATATGTCGTCATATTCGAGCACCCAACTTCACTAAAGATGGTGCGCGAGGGAGAAGTGAGGAGCAGGAACACTGAGCTCCCTCGCTGGCCCTCCTCCCCAGCCAGTTAAGTGTTAGCAGAATAGGCACCAGCAATGTGCAGAAAGTAGGTTCCTACGCTGCTATAACACCAGCATGTGCTCGCGGCTCGCTGGGCCGCAAAGAAGGTCCTTGTGGGCCATGAGTTTGACATGCTTGTGTTATAAGGTAAGTCCTGAATCTTATTCTTTTGTGCTGTTAATCCAAAAGAAGGCAAAAAAAAAACCCAAACGAATTGTAGCATTTCCAATTATGCCATAAAAAGGGGGGGAAATACATGACTCTATAATGGCAATCTGATTTTGCCTTGGATCAACAGCCTGCTCATATACATATAAATTGCATCCTTGAATATTCGGTTTATATATATATATATATATATATATATATCAACCATTAAAGCCTTTTGAAAAATTATGTATAGAATCTGGTAAGACAACCTTTCAAGCCGATAATGCCACATCTTTAGTATACTTAGTGTAAAGTACACTTTGCTCTACTGTAAGCAAAAACACCTTTGCACATAGTGGTTTGTACTGACCCGATATATAGTTGTATAGTGTTATCATATCCCATCTGAAGAGCCTTTCCTTTTTTTTTTCTAAAGATAACCAATACAGTTTTCTAGCCTTTCATCAAAGCTAATCTTTTCCAACCACCTTACTAATTTTGTAGCTTGCCTCAACACATTTTCTAGTTTTGCAATATCCTTCCTTAAAACTGATGCACATAATTGCACTGCATATAAAAAGTTGTCTTAACAGTGATTTGTAAAGAGGCAAAATTTTATATTTTGATAACGTGAATAAATACGCCTTTTTACATGAGAAAACCTTACCAGCTTTAGCAAGACTGCTGCCTAGTTTGCAATCTATAAATGTTCCCAAATCCTTTTCATTTAATGGTATCCCTAACTCAACCCATTTAATAAAGTAATACAAACAGGAGGACATGCGCTAAAACAGTTATGTTGGTGTATAGCAGCAACAATCCCTCCAAGGGTCTCTCCTCCTGGCTATATAAGTAGTAATAATTCACAGTTGGTGAATAGTTGCGCTTCAGATGGTTATAAATGTAAGACAAAAAGAGCAAAAAAACATATAATGATGGAGTATTTCGCTATGGAGTCCCACTTACATTAGGTGGAGCTTCACACCAGCTCTGAGATATTGTGCCTGGATGGAACAAACCCTGAGGATATGTGAGATCGTCTTGTATTGTATGTTGGTCCTTGCTAAAACATGAAACCAATCACAATACAGGATAAAATGGGGTGTAGTATATAAGGCAGGTTTTGAATGTAAGTATATAGCGTATAAACTCACATGCGATAGAGCTCTGAATGGCATTTTCAGATATTTCAATCAGGAGTAGTCAGTGGTGTCGTGTAAAAAACAAAACACAAAATATAGTTCTATCTGAAGATAAAATCGGGCAGTGGAAGAAAAGAATGTTACTTACATTTTATTGAGCAATCTTTAGATATTGTTCAATCCTCAGCATAAAATACCCACTATGGATAAAACGGAACAAAATGTTCAAAGATGAGAAGACATCTAGGAGCAAGGATAAAAAAGGAACTTTATAACGAGTTTAAAAACTATAACGGATTTCACCTCTTAAAAAAAAAAGCTTTTGAAAATGTAGAACAGCAGAAATAGAACAAGATGGCGCTACAGTCTGATTCAAAGTGCAAGTGCTCATAAAGAAATAATTTAAATAGGGTCACTGTTAGGCATGTAGCAAATTAAACCCTGGTAAATTATTCTAAATAAATACCTAATAAATTGGTGTGCAAACTATTCAAATATTCAATACACGTATCACAACCTATAACGTATCATAAAAATAGAAACAATGTGTATAAGTGATCACTAGGATACTCTAATTATAAAAACAAATCGGTGATCTACACAGGTGTAGTACAATGACCAACATGGTAATTAGCGAATAAAACCTGTAGATATACTTGCACCAACAATATATATTCTTTCATAAATTTGCAAAAGATGAACGTAGAGAAAACAATATTGTAATACACTTAAGATAATAAAGAATTTTTTTTTTGTTTTTTTTATGTAACTCTCAAACATGGAGTTGTTATAGTACCACCACAAACTATAAGGCTCTAGGGGGATCCAAACAACTCACCACCAGCCGATGACAACATTTCCAAAATGTTATTCAAACTTAAAATCTACTCTGTAGTACACAAGGAAAATCAGTTCAGTATTTAAAGCTCTGTCCTCTCAGGAGTCCTCTTGGATTCACTGATATTAGGCAGTTCTTATTTCACACTGGTAGCTGAAGCTCACTCTAACACTCTCCTTCACAGGTTTTTTTCCGGGTTCGGCATCCAACATGTTTTGCCCCACTTCCTGGGGCTTTGTCAAGCATAAAGTGGTGTTTTTTATGATATTCTTTTGAAAGTGGTTTAGACAATCTTTCCTTTTTTAGTTTGTATTTATTTTATCCTGACTCTTTGCTGATCCTATTTTATTTGCATATATATATATATATATATATATATATATATATATATATATATATATATATATATATATATATATATATATATTAAAATCTTACGTTTATTCAAGTCTGCAGCTGCTGCCTCTGCCCCAGATCTGCCTGTTTGGCTGACATCATCAGAGGTTATGAACTGAGCCAAACACAATGTTTTTACATAGGATTGGCTGGGACTGTCAAGGAGGCAGAGCCAAACACAACCCTAGCCAATAAGCATCTCCTCATAGATATGCATGGAATCATTGCATCTCTATGAGGTCAGTTGAGTGTCTACATACAAAGGGTGGAGATACTGAATGGTAGTACTGCACAGTGTACAGCGCTGCACCAGAAGCACCTCTAGTAGCCTTCTGAGGAATGGCCAGTGGAGTTATCACTAGGCTGTGATGTAAATACTGCATTTTCTCTGAAAAGACAGTGTCTACTTTAAAATGCCTGAAGGGAATGATTCTACTCACCAGTAGTGATGTCGCGAACATAAGATTTTCGGTTCGCGAACGGCGAACGCGAATTTCGTCAAATGTTCGCGAACCGCCATAGACTTCAATAGGCAGGCGAATTTTAAAACACACAAGATGTTTCAAGGGGACTAACACCTGCACTGTGGCATGCAAACTCCGATCCGCGGCTGCATCTTGCAGCCGCTTAGTAGATAACTCCCTAATTCCCACGGTATTAGGGAGTTATCTACTAAAAGGCTGAAAGACCTAAATTGGTCTTTCAGCCACATTTACTAATACTAAGTAAAGATTACTTAGTATTAGTAAATGATCTGCCCCTACTCGCTATGCAGCGAGTAGGGGCATGTCTAGTAAGCAGTGAGCAGCCAGTGGCTGCTCAATGTAAAAACAAAAAACTATTGGCTCCCACCCCTGTGCAACGGGTGGGGGCCATTAATTACAATGGGGGGGAGGCCCTACTGTCCTCCCCCCCGGCCCCCACCCCTGCGCGGTGGGTGGGGGCCATAAAAATAATGAGGGGGGGGACCTACTGTCCTCCCCCCCAGCCCCCACCCCTGACCGGCGGGTGGGGGCCCTAAATACTAAA